GGTGTGTGTGTGTGTGGTGTGGTGTGTGTGTGTATGTGTGTGTGGTGTGTATGTGTGTGTGTGGTGTGTGAGTGTGTGTGTGTGGTGTGGTGTGTGTGTGTATGTGTGTGTGGTGTGTGTGGGGTGTGTGAGTGTGTATGTGTGGTGTGGTGTGTGTGTGTATGTGTGTGTGGTGTGTATGTGTGTGTGTGGTGTGTGAGGGTGTGTGTGGGGTGTGGTGTGTGTGTGTGTATGTGTGTGTGGTGTGTATGTGTGTGTGTGGTGTGTGAGGGTGTGTGTGGGGTGTGGTGTGTGTGTGTGTATGTGTGTGTGGTGTGTATGTGTGTGTGTGGTGTGTGAGGGTGTGTGTGGGGTGTGGTGTGTGTGTGTGTATGTGTGTGTGGTGTGTATGTGTGTGTGTGGTGTGTGAGTGTGTGTGTGTGGTGTGGTGTGTGTGTGGTGTGTGTGTGTATGTGTGTGTGGTGTGTGTGTGTGTGGTATGTGTGGTGTGTATGTGTGGTGTGTGTGTGTGTGGTGTGTGTGTGAGTGTGTGTGTGGTGTGGTGTGTGTGTGTATGTGTGTGTGGTGTGTGTGGTGTGTGTGAGTGTGTATGTGTGGTGTGATGTGTGTGTGTATGTGTGTGTGGTGTGTGTGGTGTGTGTGTGTATGTGTGTAGCATGTGTGTGGAGGTGTATGTGTACACGTGTGTGGTGTGTGTGTGGTGTATATGCATGTGTGTCTGTGTGTGGCGTGTGTGTGTGTGTGTATGTCTGTGTGGTGTGTGTGAGTAGTATGTATGTCTGTGTGGTGTGTGTGTATATGTGTGTGTGGTTTGTGTGGGGGGGGATGTGTGTGTGGCATGTGGCATGTGTGTGTGGTGGTGTGTGTGGTGTGTGGTATGTGGTGTGTGTGGTATGTGTGTGTGGTGTGTGTGTGTGGTGCAGTGTGTGTCTGCTGTGTGCTATGTGTGGTATGGTGTGTTGTGTGTGTGTATTGTGTGTGTGGTGTGCTGTGTGCTGTGTGTGTTGTGTGTTGTGTGTGGTGTGTGCTGTGTGTGGTATGTGTGTGTGTTGTGTGTGGTGTGTGTGGTGTGTGTGTGTGTGTGGTATGGTATGTGTGCTGTGTGCTGTGTGTGTGCTTATGCACACAGAATCCACAGAAGGATGTTGGAGTGCCTTGCTCTGTCATTCCCTGCCTCCTGAGATTAGGTCTCTCTCTGAATCTGTGTGTGTATGTGTGTGTGGTGTGTGTGAGTGTGTATGTGTGGTGTGGTGTGTGTGTGTATGTGTGTGTGGTGTGTGTGTGTGGTGTGGTGTGTATGTGTGTGTGGTGTGTGTGGTGTGTGTGTGAGTGTGTGTGAGTGTGTGTGTGGTGTGGTGTGTGTGTGGTGTGGTGTGTGTGTGTGTGTGTGTGTGTGTGTGTAGAACTCACTAAGTGTTAGGCATTCTTGAATAATTCTTTTATTTTCTCATCTTCGCAATCTTATATTCCATCTTTTTTTTTCACATTTCATTTTGCTTTCTGGGACAGCCCCTCACCCATGTTTTCCAGTTTTATTTTCTTGCACTCCGCTGTTTCTGCTAGTGGTCTCACAATGCTTCTCAACTCACAAATGCAGAATTTTCTCAGCTTTCTGAGACACTAATTATAGTTTGTGGTACCTTTTTACTTTCTTTTTTCTGTGCGATCTGTTTTGCATGCTGGAGATTTCCTTCACATGTCTGGTTAGTCTTAGATCTGCACTTACTTTTATATAAGACAGCCTCACAGGTGGCTTCGAGGCTCTGCGACTGTGGGTGGGACTTGTTCCTGGGCATCACTCGTCTTTGAGGACAATGTAAAGTCTGAATTTTAGGTCTTTCTTCCTGGACTGCTTACATTCTATAGACAAAGATTCTTTAATGGTTTCTAGGTAAGAGGCTAGGCTAAAATTATTCCCTTCACTTTTCTGAAAACATTGTTGTAACCCTTAACAGGACCTTCCTTTCCATATAATCCACCTTCTGTTAAGGAATAAGAAAGAGGATCCTGGAGTGAATTGCTTTTCTAATGCAACCTTCATGCAAGGTTTATTTTTAGCCCACCTTCTTCCCCAGTTCCAGGAGAGCCTCATAGTATTAATTCTTGCCTTTTCCTGATTTGGAGGAGCACACAGAATATTTTATTTTCTCTACTTCTTGCTTGAAAACTGACTCTTTTTCTTTTTTAGAAAAAAATTATTTATTTAATAACCACATAATTAGAAGAAGCATTTCATTACAACAGCATTGACATAGTCAATAACAATTTCCAGAGCTAAGATGCATCTCTTTCAAAATTGGCTGTAAATTTTTAGGTTTATAGTTGAATTAATACAGTTACACAATATTATACTCAGTATAAACCCTATATGACATAAAATTGAATGAGATTTTAACCTTTAAAAAAGATCTCCATTTCATTATTAAAATGTACTGTTTCATACAGAAAAACTCATTTTTAATGCAGATGTTTGCACATGTGTCTCTAATCTCAATGTATCTGATTATTACTAGTCACAGTCAATTACTTTCTGAGAGCTTTGGCACCTGAGCATGGATATAAAGTCATCAGGTAGATTTCAATGGTAATGTTTTTCATATCTACTGATTAACATGAAGCAAATTTTTATGCTTCTTCCTCATACATAACTCAATTTTTATTTATTGATTTTTTTGTATTTCATACAGAACATCCCAAACAATCTTATTCATCTATATACCCACATCCCAAGTGGCACCCTCCCATGCCCCTCCCCCGCTGGAGCCCATATACTCTGTCATCCCTGTTACTGGCCACTATGTTGTTGGTGCCCCCAGCCCTTCCCCTGTGTTTATCCATCCGCTGAGTCTAGTCAGCCTATCTGTAGTTCCTTGTTTCAGGAAGATCAGCTCTTCCTCATCTAGCAGCAAACTATTGCCAATAGTCCTTTAGATAAGATTGGGGTCTGCTGGTCATTCTCCTAGTTCTATGCTGGGTTACAGTCTGGGAGTCTTTTAGGCCACCCTGGCCAACAACTCAAAGGATGGTATCTCCTGTCTGGCATTGTTTCTTATTATGTAGCCTTTAGCTGTACTATACAAAGGCTCTTAAAGAATTATATTGATCCCTTTAATCTTTGGGTGTTTAAGACCATGCAGTTGGCCCAGATAAACTAATTTATTTTTACTTTTAAGGTCATTTGAGGATCTGTTCCTCAGGGGTCACATGGGCTTGGGAGGAGCCCCTGGCTCCTTTCCTCTACCAGTTCCACCTATGCGAAGATAAGGAACTGACTCTTTTTTATATATTTTATTTATTATTTTTATTTTATATGTATGAGTATATTGCCTGCATGTATATGTGTACCCATCTTGTGCAATGCCCATGGAAGTCAGAAGAGGGCATCAGATACCCTGGAACTGAAGTTATGGATGCTTGTTAGCCGCCATGTGGGTGCTGTGAACAAAACCCTGGTCCTCTGCAAGAGCAGCTAGTGCTCTTAACCGCTGAGCCATCTCTCCAGCCCCAAGAACTGATTCTTCTCAAATGTGCTAAATTGGTTAGCTCTTGTCCACCAACTTTAAGGTCCCAAAATTTTGCCAATGTCATGGATTTTCTAATCTCATCTTTTTAATCTGTGCCTTAAGACAAAAATTTTAAAACACCATATGTCTGTTTATTGGAGTTTTAAAAGGTAGCAAAAATAAACACATGGGTCAGTCTGCCTTCTCACTAGCCCTTCAGCTAGGCTTCTAACCACCTGCTTCTCTGGGGATGTTTCTCATTCATTTTCCCTTGAAGATCGTTATTGAGTTATTTTTGTCTTGAACTCTTCTTATAGGTTCTGTAAGTTATATATTAACAAGATGAAATCCAACAGAGGTAAACTGCAAAGTTCTATACTTGGAATGAAAATACCAATTAAATGACATAGAATTAAAGAAGTGTTGCTTAATATCCATACATGGGAAAAGACTATAAGATAAAAAATAACTCAAAGATATGATATGACTGCCTTTCAATTGCTAAGAATGTGATGTGGGCTACATTAGTAGAAGTATAATGCTCAGAACAAGGGAGGGGAGGTATGTTTAGAAAGGGCTCTGCCCCTTCTTGGTATTTGGCTGTGAATACTCTGGTGTCTTCTACTCCATTCTTTGTGAAGGATGAAAACTACCTACACCAGAAAAAGACGAAAGTGAATGGGCGGAGAGGGACTGAAAATTCCATCATATGAGGAATGTATGAAGTAAGTGATGATGCTTTGAGTGATCCTGAGCTCACAGGAGGGAAATGTTAAGAGATTTCTCTGAGAAGGGAGTAAATTTGGGCAAAGTTGTGTGCGAGGCTCAAATTGGGACAGTGCCAGAGAGGAGGGCGGCTGCCTAATATGGAGAAGGCCTTTCTCCTACTAAGAACTGTTTGGAAAGAGCATGGGCAGGTGGCCAGGAAGTGGCTCTCTCTGGCCCTGAATGGTTAATGGTTGAATTAAGTAACTTCTAAGGTCTTTTCTGGCCCTGTGATTCTATTTCAAGGTCAAATAATTATCTGGAGCTGGAAGGTCTGTCAGTATGATCTGGAAACACCTTCCTTATGCTTTAGACAGAAACTGAAAGGCATCTAAGCAGTGCCTGAGCAAGTTTTCCAACCCATGGAACATTCCACACTAGCCTTCTCTTGTCCACACTACTTTTGTATTTTAGATACTCTAACGTATTTAAACACCTAGAATATGCATTCACCCCATCAAGATACATATAATTGTACACATTGGGCATTTGTGTTTGTAAATGACTAAGAGTTTCCTAGAATTTATGCACTTCTTGAAGCTTCTCAGTGCTCAGGTCTTTTTTAAAATTTATCTTATTTTTTGTGAATTTCATACAATATATTTTGATCATATTTAAATCCCCTCCCATATCAGCAACCCCTTTTCTAACCCCTCACCAAATTTCTGTACTCTAATATATGTATAAACACACACACACACACACACACACACACACACACACACAGAGAGAGAGAGAGAGAGAGAGAAGCTTGTGTTCCCAAATGCCCTTGGGTGTAGGTTCATCCACTGGAGTGCTCAAGTCCTGCCTAAATAAACACTGAATTTATTGTCTCTAAGGCATGAATAACATTGTTGGCACAGCAACAATGACTACATAATTCTGCCCTGTGAGTAAACATTCATTTTAAAGTGCCATACACTGCATGACTCTGTCACTTTTTAGAGTCCAAGTGCTACCTATAATATATGAACCTCATATATGTAATAAGGAAGTCTAAGGCCTTAGATCAAGTCCTACGTCCTCATGTGAACACTTGCATGTGCACTGAACCTTGGATTGTCTGTCTTCACCAATCATGAACTCTGGGTTTGGCTATTTCAGTCTAACAATGTGTTGATTTTTCCCACATTGTCAGGATTGGCCTAATCCAGCAGTCCAGAAGTGAAAAGAACTGAGCAGAAGGTGCTAGAGCAATGGCTCAGCAGTTAAGAGCACTGGCTCCTCTTCCAGAGGACCAGGTTCAGTTCCCAGAATCAACATGACAGCTAACAACTGTCAATAACTCCAGTATCAGGGAATCTGATGCCCTCTTCTGACCTTCGTGGGCACTGTATGCACAAGCTACATTTACATACATTACAGGCAAAACACTCATACACTTATAATAAAAATAAATGCATGAATAATTTAAAAAAATTTTTTAAAGAGTTGGAGAGATGGCTCAGCAGTTAAGAGCACTGGCTGCTCTTGCAGACCTGGGCTCAGTTCCCAGCACCCACATAGCAGCTAACAACCATCCCTAACTCCAGTTCCAGGGGATCCAACACCCTCTTCTGACCTCTGTGGGTACACTTACATACATTCAGGCAATAATACACTCATACACATAAAATAAAAATAATAAGCTGGGCGTGGTGGGGCACACCTGTAGTCCCAGCACTCAGGAGGCAGAGGCAGGCGGAGCTCTGTGAGTTCAAGGCCAGCCTGGTCTACATAGTGAGTTCTAGGACAGCTGGGGCTACAGGAAGACCCTGCTTCAAAAGCACAAAAAAATAATAATAAATAAATAAAATATTTTTTAAATTTTAAAAAAGAACTGCGCAGAAGACTAGGCTGTATATATGCAGAGCAGTGATGAAAAACTGGGCTGTGGCTGGATGGCAGGAGTAGGTCAGGTACTGCAGGGAGAAGTCACAAGCTAAGGAACACACAAGTTCTGACCCAGGAAGAAAGAGCAGCCAGGGTCCAAACCAGCCAGGGCAGGAACTCCTTTCTGGCACATATCAGAAATCTAGGAGCGCATGCACATAAGCCTGAAAGTCATTTGTTATTGAGATTATCTTGCTCAGTGAAGAGGTTGGATTCTAGGTAAGGTCTGCTGACTTCATCAAAAAATAGGTCTCCAAGAGTTCTGTTTCTTCTCAGTTAACCAAGAAAATGCTATATGATGATCCCATCTACTCCTGCCCCAAACACCAGTTTATTACCGCCACCCCACCTCTAATGGGGAGGGCAAATTCAATGAAGTGTGTAGGTAGAGGCCAGTTATGATGATACATTCCCATGCTGCACTTTCAGGGATTGATGGGAAAAATTCAAAACAGCTTTTCTTATTGGACCATCAGAAATGAGCTATAACCCCCTAACATTAAGGCTTCATTTGATCACCTCCTTTTTTTCTCTGTGCCAGTAAAGCAGAATAACACCCGTCTTTTGACTGAACGTAGGTCAGGAGGTTATGGTGACGAACAATAATCAGCAAGTAGCACTTCTCTGCAGTGACTAAATATCCATTTCTTCACAGGCAGGATGGACAACCACAGATGAAACATTCCGTAAGCCATGACCAGACCACTGAGTCATCTGGTTTGAAATGACAGGCTACTATTAAAGGAAATCACACAGTGATGAAAGGAGGCCAGAAAGGAAGCTCTGGGGCCTTCTTTGTAAACCTTTTCATTTTCTTCTCTTAGACTCTACTTATTTTTAAGAAGTCTAATTATTCCTCTTGATCCAATCAAATAAGATCTTTTTTTTGCAACTTTTTTGGGCAGGACTTGAATATAATAACTTTATTCCAGGAGCCTTCCTGGTTATCTCTGAAATGAGAAAGAAGGAAATACAATGATTTTTCAACAGCATGGCTGGAAAAACTTTTAGAAGGTATTTAATTTAATTCGTCTGAGTCACAGTATCATTTGGAGTCTGTGCTATTTCAAAACCTAACTTTAAAAACAATTAATGTCCCCTCTCTCCCTCCCTCCCTCCCTCCACCAGTACTAGGAATTGAACCTAGAGCTTTGTGTATCCTAGGAAAGTGCTCTTCCACTGAGCTGTACCTCGAGCCCCTGAATTGCTTTTCTTAAAGGGTCTCATAGAAGAAATTCTAACCAATGTAGATGCTTAGGCAAGTACTTTAAGAATTGAGCTTCAGATAAACTCGTCCTGTTTTTGTGCTTCTAGGAAGGACTAAAACCAATGATAACCTGGAGAGGCCTTTGGTTTTACATATTCAGTAGGGAAAAATAACAATCCTAATCAAATGCCCTGTTGGAGTTCATCCCAATATCTGCAGCATGCTATTTACAGATGGGTTATCACTATGTTTCCCAGGCTAGCCTCAGACTCCTGGACTGAAGCAATCCTCTTACCTCAGCTTCCCAAATTCCTGGGATGACAGGTATAGTTTTAAAGACAGTTCTAGGATATCCATACAGCTGTTTAGCAATTACAGATGAGGAAGTGGAGGTTCAAACAGCTCTATCACATTATTAAATTGTTTAAAGGCTAAATTGCTTTTCAAAGATGATGTTTCCTTCCTGAGTGAAGATTTGCCCAGACAGTGGTTTCTGCAGGTAAAAAGTTCCAGGACAGCCCTCAACCTTCCTTTTAATCAGCGTGATCAAAATCTAATGTGTGAAGTAGGTGGTGATCAGAAGAGTTTGGTATAGCCTATTGCAAGGATTTTTTTTTTTTATGAGAAAAGTTTAAAAGTGAATTTGAAAGAAATTAAATAAAAATAAACAAGAAAACTCCTAAAACTGATTGCACACCTCTTTGGTTCCCACTTCAAGATGACATAAAGAAAAGAAATCTGCAATGGTGCTATCAAGGGTCCTGACCATGTGCAGTTGCATGCACTTACTTAGCTCTGGGTTTGATGGAGCCGAGGGGGGGGGCGGTGATGAATGAGTGAATGAATGAATGAACATAGCTTCCTCAGCCACCAGGGACATTTCCAAGACAGGCATCTTTGATGCCATCCCAGACTGACATGAACCTACATTACTGTGTGAGTTGTGTAGTTCACAGCAAGGTGGGGAAGAATCAATTTCATGAAGCCACAAGAATCAAACATGCCCATTCCAGTTCAGACCTGCCACTTCTTGTCCTCATCAAAGCCGCCCATAAGAGGATCTAAGTCCTTAAACACTGAAGAACTGACTTGTGGAGAGAGAGTGGGAATGGAACTGAGGGAACAGTGATGGCATCTTCCTTCATCAACTTCCTGTCTTGGGGGCTGTTCAGCAGTTTGCTTAGGTTGCAACTTCCTCGTGCTTTTTCTTTTCCATCCCTTCAGTAACCTGCCAGAAAGGTGCCCTCTGGGGCCTTCTGGGCGGTAAGAACACACTCACTGCTTCCTTCAGGCCATGTGTCTCTTACAGAAGATAATTAGATATCCTTTAAGATTAGATTTCTGAAATGTTTATAACATATTGTCTTCCTTCTCCTCTTCCTTCTTTTCTATTTTGTTTTGTTTTTAATATTTTATTGTTTTTATTTTATGTGTCTGAGTGTATTGCCTGCATGTATGTAAGTGCACCCGTGTGGTGCAATGCTTGTGGAGGTCAGAAGAGGGCATTGATTGCGTCCTCTGGAACTGGAGTTACGGATGATTCTTAGCTGCTATGTGGGTGCTGGGAATCAAACCTGGTCTTCTGCAAGAGCAGCCAGCACTTGTAACCACTGAGCCATCTCTTCAGCCCTTTGTTTTGTTTTTTGAAACAGGGTCTCACACTGTAGCCTAGAGCTGCCAGGAACTCACTATATAACCCGGCCTGGCCTTAAATGTGCAGCAATCCTCCTGTATCCATCAGCTACCCAAGTACTGAACTTACAGGTTTGAACCATCATGCCTGGCAACCTCATTGTCTTTTCAAGTCTTGAGCAGTGGGCTTTTGTTTAACCACAATCATTTTGTACTTTATGAGTCAAGATTTACCATCCTTTGCAGCTTAGTTTATATCTACCTAGGACATTACTGGCCTTTAAAAAAAAGCTTGTGTTTATTATTACTATTATAAAATTACTAATAGTAATATTAGAGAAGCTTGCCAGGTATTGTCCTAATATGTATCTAGCACACTCTCATAAACAAAGCGTGAGGGATGCTACCCTTGTCATCTTAGTAAATTGCCCAAGCATTTACTGTGCAATTGGAATAGAGACAACAGCCTTTGCTGTTCATCATTCAAACACTGTGTCATTATGTTAAACCAGAATTTATGGGGTTTTTTTTCCAAGCTTTTTTCCCAAGTTCCTTGGTATTAGAGAATACCAGATACTGTTGGCTTTGAAGTCTGGGATCCCCTTCCCTCAAAAGTCCTATTACTGACTTGGAAAAACTGAACTAAACTATAAAACAAACCTGCCTTCATTTTTTTTTTGTTTTTTTTTTTAATTTTTTAAAAATGATTTATTTAATAACAACATACTTAGAAGAAGCATATCATTACAACACAATTGACATATTCAATAACGTTTTCCTGAAGTAGGATGCATCTCTTTCAAATTTGGCTGTAAATTTTTAGGCTTACAGTTGAATTATTACAGTTATACAATATTGTACTCAGTATAAACCCTATAAG